TCTCGGGATCGATCTAGAACCAGGAACTGCGCAGATCTCCAAAGCACCCTACAAAATGACACCTGCAGAACTTAGAGAATTGAAGGAATAGTTACATGAGTTGTTGGATAAGGGTTTCATTCGACTCATTGTATCACCTTGGGGAACCCCTATTCTATTTGTCAAGAAGAAGGATGAGTCTTTGTGACTGTATATTGATTATAGAGAGCTAAACAAGGTCACCATAAAGAATAAGTACCCCTCCCAAGAATTGATGACTTGTTTGATCAGCTACAACAAGCAACAGTTTCTCCAAATTTGACTTGAGGTCAGAGTACCATCAGCTGAGGATCGGAGAAGAGGATATACCCAAGACGACCTTCAGAAGTCGTTTGAACATTACGAGTTTCTTGTTAGGTCTTTTGACCTTACCAATGTACCAGCAGTCTTCATGGAACTAATGAGCAGTGTTTAACGAATTCTTAGACACTTTTATTATAGTGTTTAGGGTTTCGTGGGAGAACCAAGGGGTTCCTAATCAATTCTCATTGCTCCTAGTCGTTTCGCATGGAAAACGTGTCCCCACGTCATACAACCATTAACTGCATGAGAAAGGGTTGGGTCGCGCCCTTCAACAGGGGACCCCTAAGGTAAGATGTCATAAAGTCTCAGATAGCCATGCATAGGTAGAGCCTCATAGAGAGACACCGCTCATTACAGCTCGACATAAGGAACTCTTGGGTATTAAATGAAAGAACGAAGAACCAGAGAAGTTCCAAGGGGCTAAGACTAGAACCAGACGTCCTAGAGCCAATGAGAAGTTTGTGTTTGTCTGTTAAGCCTAGAGCACTATGAGAGCTTACAAGTAAGTGGTTTACTGAGTATAACTTTTATACTCATCCTTGCTATGTCTTTTTTTTTTTTTTTTCCCAGATGTTATGAGGCTTCGGGTCAAGAGAGGGCGTGATTAGAGATGTGGATTATCATAGAGGAATGCATGTCTCGAGGCATCAGTCTGATCTTTTCTTTTATATTCAAATTTTCATATCTTTTTTCTCAAGTAAATCATTTTAACCTTTGTATTGAAGTTTTACTTGAAATAAATAATTTCGTCTTAATGCATTTTCAAATGTTTTCTTTACATTCATGTTGTCGTTTTGAGTCACGATTCAAAGTAAAATATTGGGTCATGATAATAGTACCCCACACTTGCCAGCGTGAGCCTACCATGCAGTTCGCACGTCCCCTCTAGACCCATCATAATCGGGCTAATTGGTTGTAGTTGGATGTTTGAAGGTACAACGAACCCTCGAATATTATGCAAGCATGATGATCATCATCATCATAGTGTACGAGCTCGTACTCATCATCATAAAAGAGGAAGTAGCTCGTACTCATCATCATAAAAGAGGAAGTAACTTGATGTAAATTAACATACAATATGTATGAGGTCTGTACTTATCATCTTAAATCATTCATGTGATATAACCTCATACATTCCTCACATATTATACTAGGTAACATACATGCATAAGTTATCATACATTCATCATTTAGGAATTATGGGTTAGAAAACTGTTCATCATAATGAAATATAACATTTCATAGATGCATATCATTGCAACATGAGATATATCATCATACTTCTCATTCTATCATGTCATAATGCATCATCATCCCAACGTATCATAACATCATAGTACATCATATCATCATAACATTGTAGCACCATTGTAACGCTGTCATAATCATCCAATTACATCATCATAGCATCATAGCATGATATAATACATCATAACATCATATCACGTCACATCATCATTGAAGGGAATGAACTCTTCATCCATGTAGCGGAAGCATTGGGAACCATTTTGATTTTTATTAAGAATTAAAAGAAAAGCAATAAATACGAGAGTAAGAACTCTACTTTTATAGAAATCCTAGCTTGCAAGACTCCTCGGATTATTCCAACCATGCAGAAGTTCTTCAACATTCCACAAGATCTTCCTTGCTATCCTTGCTATGACTCCAACACAAGGCCAAGACTTGTGGGAGCTTCTTAAAACAAAATTCAAACGGATTGGAGAAAAATATGACTCGAACACAAGGCCAAGACTTGTGAGAGACTCTTGAAAGAAAATCCTAAACGGATTGGAGAAAAAGAAAGAGTTTCGAGAATTCTCTAACGATGCAATTTCATTCTCTAGAGAAAGTGGGAGAGATTGATATATTTTGGCTCAACACGAGGGTCCTATTTATAGGAATTCTTGAAGAAACTTGTCAAATAATATATTGACATATTTAATATATTAGGATATAATACTTTATACAACATATTTATATATTATAAGATATCTTAATATATATTTAATTGATTTGAATCTCATTCAAAAATACATTAATTGATTTAATATTTAATTATATCAAATATAATAAATATATTTTTCCTTTTTAATATATCTAATATATTAAATATTAATTTGAACCCTTTTAATTAATATATTTTTTTTCATTTATATTTAACCTATCTAATATATTAAATATTAATTTGAACACTTCACATTAAATATATTTTATCTATTTATTTAATATATCTAATATATTAAATATTAATTTGACATTTCAGATAAATTTATTTTCTCTTTTATATTTAATATATTAGATATCATTTTGAACCCTAAATTTCCTTTCAAATAAATTGAATCTTTTAGCGTTACTATAAGCTAGTGACCTTATGACCTACAAATTATAAGTTCCAATGATACAAAATTAATTAATCAAACTCTTTAATTAATCAATTTACATTCATTAACTATATATCACTCCACTATAGGCTTAGAGTTACACTTTTATGCATGGTAGGACAAGTTATGTCCATTGATATAATCATTATAAGCAAGTTGATCCTTCACGAGTTGTTCATAATTATAGCTGGGTCAAAAGTCCATTTTACCCCTGTAATTATGTTTTTCACCTTAAGTACCATTGATTCTCTAATGAACAATTTGTTTATGATCCAATCATAAACCAAGTCCCTCTCGGGTCAATAAAAGAGTGGGGTTCCATTATTCAAGTCCCGAAATCAGTACTTAGAGAACAACTCATCCACTTTACTTATATGAAATGGAGTGAATTCCATCTCAAGATATTATGTTTCCAACTCCCTGGTCAAGTCCACAAAATGGTAGGCATATTGAATTGGCTAAAAGAGTCATTCTCACCCATGTAAATTAAAGGACAAGCCTTCACACGCAGTTCATAATTCACTCATAATTAATATCGAGTTCGTATATGATCATCATGTGAAATATTAGTATTTATAAGGAGAGATTAAATACTTCTTGGTCCAATCTTATACAAACTCATTGTATAGGATACCTCCACTTACATGTCTCCACATTAACGATTTGGATCAAATCATTTGTAACGATTACAAAGTGGGCCGTATCAATAGTGTTACCAGAATAAAGCACCCAATCTTATCTATATACTATAGACTCTTTAGGTTATTACTTGAACACGATCCCATTATATGTCAACCACGTACCCTTCAAGATTATATTAATAACCTTGGATTTTCATACATTTCATACAATGTGATAACAATTAAAAAACTAAATAATTAATCATGAGGCTTTAGAGCATAAATCTCAACAATCATAATATCATATAAATGTACATGACACGTGCAAGAGTCACAGACACATATCATCATACATCAGACAAGTCTTCCGATCGAGTTGATAGTAAGGTCACTTATTTAGTTGCCCTTAGCAGATGTTGTATCTTATTTTCGAGATTGACTTGACTTGTCTCTCAAAATTTATATTAACGTGCGTGGAAGGACTCCACCATATCATAAATATCTCCTTAATTCTTTCCATAATCCGACTTCTTACCTAATTACTTATATAAATGAGAATTTATGTTTTTTTATAAAATTATTTTCATACAAATAATTTAAAACAGTTTAACAATCTTGAGATTTTTCCATTTATGTCTTTCTATGTTCCTTTTCTATTGCCTACATTCTATATATATATATATTATTTTTTAATTATGTTCATAAGCTATTAGCTAATTTTAATCATTCTTATTTTTTTTCTTTTTTCTTTATATTTAATATATTAAATACTCATTTCAATCCTTCCAATTTTTCTTTATTTAATGTTTTATGGGTTAGGAGGGAGATTTTATATTAATTAAACTCTTTAATTAATCCATTTTCATTTATTAATTATAAGTCAGCGTCGGTAGATTTATAGTTGCACTCGTATGTATTGTAGAATAAGTTGTCCATTGATATAATAACTATTAGTACGTCAATTCTTCATGAGTTGTTCACAATCACAGGTGGGTTAAAAGTCTATTTTACCTTTGTAATTACATCTTTCACGTCAAGTACAATTGATTATCTAATAAATAATTTGTTTATGATTTAATCACTAGGGAAAGGGTGGAGCCCCATATTCAAGTCTTGAAATCAGCATTTAAGGGGACAACTCATCTACTTACCCATGAATTCTCTATTGTGAAATTATGCTCTCAGCTCTCTATTTGGTCAAATCTCCAAAATGATAGACATACTGAACCGTCTACCAAAGTCATTTCACCCATACAAATCAAAGGATAATCCCTCATCACAAGCAAAAGCTCATAGCTCACTCAACATTAAGATCGAGTCGCATATGATCATCACGTGAAATATTGATATTCTCGATTAACGGATTTACATAAAGACATTAAATATTTCGTGGTCCAATAACAATTATAAGTCGACTGTATCTATAGTGTAACCTGTATAAGCATAAGACACCGAATTTTATCCGTATACTATAAACCGTTCCCGTTCATCATCTATTAAGTTTGCTCTCTTAAATTTTTAATTTTTATGTATATTCTAAATTTAAAGAAATTAAATGTTTAATTTTATGTATAATATAAACTTATGAAGTATTAGTATTCCTATTATGGGACAAAATATACATATTTTTATGAATTCAGTCGGAGAGAGAGAGAGAGAAGATTTGAAACCTTCGCTTTTTTATGGATCAGTTTTGGAGCGGCGATTGGTATTGGAAGGGGTCGGATGGAATGGCGGCTGAGGCTGAGGCGGAGGCCGAGGAAACATTTTTACGCGCATTGCGGGATGCCGAGTACGGAAATTGGAGTCCCTATATATGTAAGCAGCAGAAATTCGACCTTTTCCTTAATTTTAATTTCTGAATAAAGTGTTCTTGTTCTTCGTCTCCGAGACAGAGCATCGCCGGAGAAGAGAGCAAGACCGAGACAGAAAGGGCGATACGTTTTCACAGATTGCCCTCTCCGTCTCGATCGACCTTATTTATTAATAATCACATTACCTATAATAATATTATTCCCATTGCATTCATCTTTTTCCATTTTGTTCATTTTCATTTTCATTTTCATTTCTTTGTCATGTGTTTCCTCATTTTTCCTCCCCTTAATTCCTAGTCTTTGATGCGACGGTTGAATGCCCCTAAGAAGAGGCACGATTCTAGAATTCCCATTATGGATCCCACCAAGCTGCACCTTCGATCTAGCAGCCGACCCAATTTGTTCGCCAGGACCAACTTCAAGAATTCTTCCAAATCCAGATGCTGGCTTCCCCTTGCAGCCCTGCTTGCGTTTGCTTTCTTGTTCTCTTATATCCTCGTTTTTACAACCAACTTCCGCAGCTCCTTGAAGATAAGGTACGGAATCGTTATAGATGGAGGTAGCACAGGGACTCGACTCCACGTGTTTCGCTACAGAGTAGAGAGTGGCTATGGGGTTTTTGATTTGGGCGAAGAGGAATTGACGTCGATGAAGGTGAATCCTGGGCTGTCGGCGTATGCAGAAGATCCAGACGGAGCTGGAGAGTCTTTGGTGGAGCTTTTGGAGTATGCCAAGACTCGGGTTCCAAGGGATCAATGGGGGGTCACTGAAATTCGGTTAATGGCAACGGCGGGGCTAAGAGTGCTGGAATTGGAAGTACAGAACCGCATATTGGAGTCTTGCCGGTGGGTGCTTCGTTCTTCGGGCTTCAAGTTCCGGGATGAATGGGCGTCCGTCATTACAGGTTTCAACTTCTCTTCTCAACCTCTGCATTGTTTTTTTTTTTTTGTTGGTGTGTTATCTCAAAGGCATTTGTTCTAGCTTCTGAAATTTGTTTATAATACATATCTGCTGACGTTATGTAAGTAATGGGTGTGTTAGGTTCTGATGAAGGGACGTATGCGTGGGTTGCGGCTAACTATGCACTTGGCACTCTTGGAAGCGATCCCCTCGAGACAACTGGAATCATTGAACTTGGTGGAGCTTCTGCTCAGGTTTGTATTGACCTTATTTACTTTTAATCAGGCACAGTTTGTCTTCCGAGGGTGTTGCATCGATCTTATTTACTGAAATTTAGATGTTCTTTGTATATATATATATATATATATTTCTTGATTAGATATGAAGCTTTCATTGAAAATATGAAAGAATGTACATGGACAAAAGCCCTAAAATGTTGGGAAGAAATGTTGGTCGGAGATGCTTCCACAATGTTTGGATTAAAATCTTGAGACATCTTGCAATGTCTTTTAAAGGGTTCAGATTATTAATCCTTTTAATTTGGATAAGGCTCTCCTAAAATGTTGGGATGCTGATTTTTTGAGAATTGTGGCTCAGAATTGGGAGTGGGTTAAATTTGAATTTTGGAATGAATAGTTGTATGGAAGAATGAACGTTTTATGAAGTTCTTGAAATCTTCATATTGGGAGGTTTATGGAGACTTGAAAATCATGAAACAAGAGATTTTGAGTAGGCTTAAAGTTCTAGATGACCTAGAGGAGGGAGAGGTGAGTGATATTCTCAAGGAAGAACGTCCCTTGGCTAAAGGGGGGAGTATACAAAATTGGTAACGAAAGAGGTGGTGAGTTGGAGACAGAAAACCAAAGTTCATTGAGCTAAGGTAGTCATGATAGTAAGAATGTTATTGACCACTTGGATTATGATTGTGGAGAGTGTTTTCAGGAGGATGGAGAGATAATGGGGAGATTCATGCTTGTGGTTTGGAATCCGATCTGTACCCAAGATTTGTCAGCTTTGGATACTCCTTTTTTCTTTTTAAAACTCCTGTCTGTGAGTATCATTATGGATAAACTTGCGAGGAATTTTTTGTGGGAGGGGTGGAGGAAGGGAGTGGGTCTCATTTGATTAGGTGGGTGGAGTTTTTGAAACTTGTTGTTTTCGGGGGTTTAGGTATAGGAAATGGGCAATTGTTCCTTATTTTGTTTGAAAGTGCATTGGCCCTAACCATAAATATGCAGAAAACAGCAGTTATGGGAGTAAATGTGGCAGATTCAGATGTTGAAGCGGTGGCTGAAATGCTGGGATGTAAACAACTACCTCCCTTTTAGTTACTTTGGTGTTACTATTGTAGGGAAGCCCAATCATACTGCCTTTTGGATAAAGTCTATGATAAAATCAAAGGTAAACTTGCAATTTGGAGGGACTTTCCGGGGCAGCGCTTTGGGTAGCATCCCTTCTTATTTCATGTCCATTTTTAGATTGCCTGTGGCTGTGCGAAAACATTTTGAGAAAGTTTTTAGGAACTTTCTTTGTAAGGGGGCAGCTGCAAATAAAGGCACTCAGTTGGTTAGGTGGGACTAAGTAAGGGCTCCTCTTTCTCTGGGATACATGGGAGTGGAAAACCTTCACCCAAAGAATATGGCTCTTCTTTCTAAACAGCTGTGGAGTTTTGAGAAAGAAGAAAATGCTCTTTGGAGGGTGGTGATGAAAAGGAAATTTGGAGTTGATTTCCTCGAGGTTTAATTAATTAAAAACTGAATAGGGGATCTTAGTCCTTGGAAGGAGATTGCTAAGACTTTTTTTTTTTTTTTTTTTTTTTTTTTTTGGGGTAAAATGTGAGTTATAAGATGTCTACAGGGAGTGAAGTATTGTTTAGGGGATATAGATGGACTTGAATTCAAATGAAGTTATCTTCAATTTCTAGGCATCTTATTCCCAGACACATATTATTTGCAAAAATCTTATTCTCAAACATCTTAAACAAAACATCCAACCAAACGACCCCTTAATGAAGTTTGTTTTGATCTCGTATTAAAAAGGGGGTTTTGTCTGCAAGGAGGCAGTATGCTTTCAATCTTCCAGGAGTTACTGAAGTCCCTATTTATCTCTTTAAACAACTCTACTGTTTCTTTGTTTCCAAATTAATCAAAAGGTAGCTCCACTAGTGCTTTTCCTTTAAGGCAATAAAGTCCAGAAATATCAAATTTACATCTTCATGAAAAACACCAAACCATTCAGAGCTTGTTGCATAATCTGGACTGGTTCTACACCACCGAAGACTAGCAAAAAGAAGAGAGGTTTTTGGTTACTTTCTTGCTCTTACAGTTCATATACTGTGTAAGAAGATAGATATTTGGATTTTTCTTTTCAACTTTGTTGACTCTTTATGCTTTTGCTGTTTCTGCTCTTTGCCCTCTTAGTTTATGATTTGTAATGCGTGGAAATGGACTCTTTCCTAATTAATGAATGCATTTGGTTACAGATTTTGAGGGTTTATTTTCCTTTGATTTATTAGCCGGGTTTCGATTTTTTTTTTTTTTTATTATAAAACTTTAGAGAAACCAAGAGGTTTTCCTATAACGTTATAGGCCACATAAAGTTGTCTTCATAAATTTTGAATTGATCCTAAAAGATTATAGCTCTCTGAAATGTATGTATGGTGTGTATCAAGTGATCTCTGCAGCAATCATAATGATGGGTGCAGAAGTTAGACGATAGAGAATATGAAATCTAATTGAACAATGATGAATGCACAACTAACATTGTCAACCTTGCCATAAAAATGAAAGAAAAGGATTAGGAAAAAAAAAAAAGAAACGAATGATATTGAATGAAGCTTAAAGACATACAGGAAAAAGGAGATTAGAGAACAAACAGTAAGGTATAGGATTATTGTATTGATCGCTGGTTTTCTCCGTTTCAGGTTACTTTTGTTTCAAGTGAACCAATGCCTCCTGAATTCTCACGTACTGTTAAATTTGGCAATACGACTTATAGTCTTTACTCTCACAGCTTTCTACATTTAGGGCAGGTAAATCCTTCTTCTTATGTGCTATTTTCTCTCCTGAAGTTGAGTTGTACGTATAAAATTTGGAATTCATGTTACCATAAAACCCTTTTGAGTTGCAGGATATCAATTTAAATTGGAATGCTTTTATTCATTGTTTTAATCCTGTTTTTTACTTTCTCACTCCATTTAGAGTTTGTACAGTTTGTTTGTATCCTCTGAGCATTAGTTTCTTTTCATATTTTCGTTTCTTGTTCAATAATCATAAGAATAATAATAAAACCCTTCTGGTCCCTGTAATGTAATCAAATTATCTTCCACTCATTTTCTACCCTCCCGCTCTTATGAGATTTTCAGATTTCTATCCTTTTTCTTCTTTTCCTTTAATTCAACTTTCATTCTAAATTGTTTGCCTATAGCTCATTTTTCTAAGCCACCAGGGATTTTATGATTTTTATCTGCGAACAGCCAAAACTGCTGGTAGTCTTAGTTTTTAGTAAAAGGTCAGATTTGATGTAGTGTTCTGTTTTCTTTTCTTTTTTTGGTAGTAAAAATCACGTTGATGGTGTTTTTGTATGGTTGTTGATTATATCTTTCCAAAGTGCTTTAGCTGCCTGTATTTGTACTTTTATCCATCTTCCTAGAAGTGCTTTAGTCAACGAAACATAAAATCATTTGGTGGGATTATGGAGAAAATAGCTGTGTGATCATTGTGAGTTCAAAAGTTACTTGTGGTTTGAGGAGCATGGCCCACTGCCTTCTTGGCACTTTCTCATTAGTTTGCTTCTTTTGGGAAAAGGATATCCAAAATACTACTCTACGATATTCATAGGGAGCAGAAATTCCTTCAACCTTAGCCATTGTGATAGTACTTAGCCTATGTAATTGAAAAAGGACTTACAAGAGAGGACCTTGTAGCTTCTGGTGACCAAATTATCCAGTCAGTAAAGAATGCAAAATAAGCGTGCCCCAGAGTAGTAAGCCACACATCCACACATCCACTTCTTTATTTTTGAAGTTGAAGATAAGATAACCAATGGAGGAATCTAAATGGCCAAATTGACTTGCCAACTCAAAACTGGTGTGATACTGTTGCAAACTTAAAGAGCAAGGGTCATTTGTTGTATGCGAGATAGAAATGTGTAAGTTTTAGAATGTGACACATTTTCTAGATAAAAAACCACAGATTATGGCTGCTACCTCTTTTGACCTTATTTTTGTATCCTGCTTGTTGATGCATACATCATATTTGCTAGCAATGATGGAATGGTACGTTGAAGATCCCTTTTCATCCTGAACGTGAAGTGCTTTTCTTTTATTAACTTTTTAATGTAAAATCTCTGACATGTTTCTGGAGTTTCACTTCTGTGAACTTTCTTAATTTGTAATGTTTAAAACCGTTCAGAGTCGTGATTAGCCTTGTCTTGCAGAATGCTGCTCATGATTCCTTAAGAGAAGCACTTAGTAAAGGAGAGTTCAACTCAGGTAAATGTGCATGTCTATTCTTTTCTCTTAACTATCTAGATTGGAAAAAATTGGGTAGCATTCCATTCTCAGTTTGTCTGTAGAGTCATCTCTGTTTACTGTCAAGTTTGATGTCACAAACTGGATTGGTTAGTACTGTTTTAAGGATGTAGCATTATATTTGAATTGTTTTCTTATTATGTTCACAGTTGTCATGCTGTCAACTTATCGTCTATATTCATATGCATTCTTCGGGACTCCGAGGTTTACCTCTAGATTGCTTATTTTAATATTCAATATATCCCATTTCCTCACAATGTCCATATTGGCCTTGCTCGGACTTAACAACTTGTAGGATGTAGTTTAAATTGATGGTTGCTAATTTACTTTAAACTGTTCTCATGAAGTTACCTGCACACCAGACTGCTGATGGATCTTGATTCTTGAATTTCTTGTTTCATTCATCTATGATGTCTTTTATACAGAAAAAAAGACGGATTGAAAAGACCCTTGGAATGCCCGTCTGAATTCTTTCTATTTGCATCGAGTTTGACATTCACTGGGAGAGCATTCATTCAATTCGCTTATTTTTTTAGTAATCTTGAGTTTTGATTCTCATTTGTTCATGCCAGCTAAAACTCTTCAAAACGGATTGACTGTGGATCCTTGTACTCCCACTGGGTTCTCTCATACTTCGGAGTCTGAAGCACCATCTCCAAGCGTTATGGTGGTGGAAAGGAATAGGTATAATATGTCATCTTTCCATTCTAAGGGAAACTTCTCTGAGTGCAGATCTGTTGCTTTAATGCTGCTGCAAAAAGGAAAAGGTTGTACAAATCTTCATATGCTTCACTTTTTAAAACCCTTCTCATACCGATCTTTCTTTTAGAAGTGTGCATAATACTTCCTCCTTTTTCTCTTTTGTTCGCCCCTGTAGAGAAATGCACCGATATGAACTGCCGAGTAGGATCCATTTTCACACCAAAACTTAGAGGCAAATTTTTGGCGACAGAGAATTTCTTTTACACATCAAAAGTATGATTTTCTTCGCCTGTTACAATTATATTGTGTGCTTCCTCACTTTCTTCACAATGTGTATTTGTATTCTTTAGTATGTTTCTTGTTCAATGTTTATCTTTCATGTGTTATATGAACGTTTCTGTGTTTTTGTCACCAGTTCTTGGGTGTTGGATCGAGGGCTTTTCTTTCAGATCTGGTGGTGGCTGGACAGGAATTCTGTGGTGAGGACTGGGTAAAGTTGAAGAAGAGATACAAGCTGCTTGATGAAGAAGATTTGGCGCGGTATTGCTTCTCATCAGCGTATATCGTGGCTCTCCTTCATGACAGTCTTGGAATTGGATTAGAGGATAAGGGGTAGGCTGCTGATCTCTTGCTAGTTATGTAAGTAAATATATATTAGTTGGTGATTCTTAGGTTTGAGAACTGTATGAATAGCAGCATCACAGCTGCAAGTGAAGTGCAAAACATAGCAGTGGATTGGGCATTGGGAGCATTCATCTTGGTGCAAAGCACAGCTGCTGCAATAGAGTCAGAACCGAAGAAGCAATGGGATTGGATTGCAGAGATGTGCGGGTATGAGATGCCCAAAAAGCTGTCAATAATAGGGGTATCAATTATGTTGTTGTTCATAGCATGGTTGGTATCATTAAAGTGGAGGAAACCTCAGTTGAAGACGATTTACGATCTAGAGAAAGGACGGTACATAGTGACCAGAGTGAGTAAATGCTGACTGATGTCTGACCAATCTGCAATCTGCAAGTCCCAAGATGTTCAGAGATGATTGATTGTATATTATGTGTTTTTTGGTTCACATCATCTCCTCATGTGTTGTAGGCTGTGTGTCACTTTTGTAGAAGAAGCTTTCCCTTTTAGCATATAGCGGGAGGACAGGCCGCCATCCCCATTTCCTCTTCCGTTGCCTGTGCCGAGTTCGGGTGAAACGAAATTTAGGACAAGTTTTTTTTTTTTTTTTTTTTTTTTTTTTTTTTTTTTTTTTTTTT